ATAGTTCGGTAGTAGTAGTACGCTAGTTTGCTCGGTCGCGAAAATAAATTACGCGTAGATCGTTGAGGAGGAAAGGAATGGCGAATCGACGACAAGGGAGAATTGGGCAAGTCAACTTCTGCATGGAATGTGCCAATCTGGCTTGGCTTTGCCGTGCAAGATCCCGCTCGTGTTAGGGGGTGTTTGGGAGAGAGGGGCTAAACTCTCTCTCAAACATCCCCTCTCTCAAAAGCATAAGTCATAGCCTCTCTCTTCTAAACACCCCTTTAATTATTTTTTCGGGTGTCTGGACCAATCGGCGAACAGGCGCTTCTCCGATTGGGCATTTGCCGCATTGGAGAGCGCTCGACCTTGAGCAGAGCAGAGCAGCACTGTGCCTCGGTGGCTCGGTACGTTGGTGCGTGTGATCGGTAAGCCGCGCGTGCAGAGTGCAGACAGGCGTGGCCGCGTGGCGTCGCCGACGGCCGGTGTTTCTTTTCCCAGCCGCCCCGGCACTGACGCCAAGCCGAAGCCGGGGCCGGCCGGCGCGCCCCAGGTTTCCGCTGCGTCACTTCATCAGTAGTTCAGAACTGTATTAGTTAACCAGGTTTATTTATGGCCGGGAGTTGCTGCGAGATGGAATCCCAAACAGATCCGGATCAGTGCAAGGCAATAATCAATCTACCTCAATTGTCTTTTGCAGTCGCATTCATAGATTAGAAAATGCGGCGTATTCGCTGTAGAACTCTGACATCACCTGTGGCTGAGGATATAACACGACATTACGCGCGAATATAATCAATGATGATATCTATAGCTAGTAAATCATTATGCCTAAACAATAACTATCACCAAATCTGCAATTTTATTCTTGCATTATCTGAAAAGTTAATCCGACGTTGCATTATCTAGTATTAGGTCTCCAATCTCGTGGAAATCTTGATCCGTGTCTTCTCATTTTCGTAATTATTTTGTATTGTTTTTCTTTCTTTGAAGCATTCAACAATATGATTGAACCATGTCATGGGGATCTGGAGGATTGAACACGCAATGATATTCTACTCCTGGATTTTCTTTGTGATTTTAGAATTCCACTTTAGAAACAACTGGAAAAGAAGCCCTAACTTGTTGATCTGTCCAATTCCACCACAGTCTTCTCAAAGGCTCGTGACAACAAGGAGTACTTCGTTATGGTCAAATCTTTATTAGTTTTCTGTTCCTTTGTTGTTGCTTGTTAGGGACAGTGAGGCGCTCCATTAATTTGGTTATGCTTCCATTCGTGCAAAGGTGCTTTGAGAAGATTTAAGTGGCACCCACTTAGCAGGGTAATGAAAATTCACATCGAAGATTAAACTTAAGAGTTTCGATATAAATTTCATAATATTCCGACATAGTAATAGTCACTTCAAAACCTACCCCTATCCCAAAACATAAGTTTTTTTAATCGCTACTGAACACACCCAAGATACTAATTGTAACGTCCCGCCTCTCCCAAGCCGGGCCCGCTTACATCTGACAGCTTTCATAGGCCACAGACTACCCTCACAAAGCAACACAAGTGTCGTTGCTGCTTGCAGCCATTCCGAACCAGCGACAGTAATCGCTACTGAATACACCCAAGATAAGATACTAATAGTAACGTCCCGCCTCTCCCAGGCCGGGCCCGCTTGCAACCATTCCGAACCTCCGAACCAGCGATAGTAATCGCTACTGAACACACCCAAGATACTCCCTCCGTTTCGAAATGTTTGACACCGTTGAATTTTTAGCACATGTTTGACCATTCGTCTTATTCAAAAACTTTTGTGAAATATGTTAAATTATATGCCTACGTAAAAATATATTTAACAATGAATCAAATGATAGGAAAAGAATTAATAATTACTTAAATTTTTTGAATAAGACGAACGGTCAAACATGTACTAAAAAGTCAACGGCGTCAAACATTTCGAAACAGAGGGAGTACTAAATTTTAACGTCCCGCCTCTCCTAGGCCGGGCCTGCTCAGAACCTCTGAACCAGCGACAGTAATCGCTACTGAACACACCCAAGATACTAAATTGTAACGTCCCGACTCTCCCAGGCCTAACCAGCGACAGTAATCGCAAACCAACACAAGTCTTTTCTGCACACTTTGTCCTCACTTGTGCGCACTCGGGAACAATGTCACCGGTCGGGAAATTGTTCCCAAATTGTAACGTCCCGACTCTCCCAAGCCTGACCAGCGACAGTAATCGCAAACCAACACAAGTCTTTTCTGCACACTTTGTCCTCACTCGTGCGCACTCGGGAAATTGTTCCCGAGTGCCAGGCCTTCCGAAAATTGTAACGTCCCGACTCTCCCAGACCCGACCAGCGACAGTAATCGCAAACCAACACAAGTCTTTTCTGCACACTTTGTCCTCACTTGTGCGACCAGCGACAGTAATCGCAAACCAACACAAGTCTTTTCTGCACACTTTGTCCTCACTTGTGCGATCAGCGACAGTAATCGCAAACCAACATAAGTCTTTTCTGCACACTTTGTCCTTACTTGTGCGCACTCGGGAACAATGTCACCGATCGGGAAATTGTTCCCAAATTGTAACGTCCCGACTCTCCCAGGCCTGACCAGCGACAGTAATCGCAAACCAACACAAGTCTTTTCTGCACACTTTGTCCTCACTCATGCGCACTCGGGAAATTGTTCCCGAGTGCCAGGCCTTCCGAAAATTGTAACGTCCCGACTCTCCCAGACCCGACCAGCGACAGTAATCGCAAACCAACACAAGTCTTTTCTGCACACTTTGTCCTCACTCGTGCGCACTCGGGAACAATGTCACCGATCGGGAAATTGTTCCCAAATTGTAACGTCCCGACTCTCCCAGGCCTGACCAGCGACAGTAATCGCAAACCAACACAAGTCTTTTCTGCACACTTTGTCCTCACTCGTGCGCACTCGGGAAATTGTTCCCGAGTGCCAGGCCTTCCGAACCAGCGACAGTAATCGCTACTGAACACACCCAAGTCTTTTCTGCACACTTTGTCCTCACTCGTGTGCACTCGGGAAATCCAGGCCTTACGAACCAACGACAGTAATCGCTACTGAACACACCCAAGTCTTTTCTGCACACTTTGTCCTCACTCGTGCGCACTCGGGAAATCCAGGCCTTACGAACCAGCGACAGTAATCGCTACTGAACACATCCAAGTCTTTTCTACACACTTTGTCCTCACTTGTGCGCACTCGGGAACAATTTCCCGATCGGTCACCTATCCCGAAATTACTCCACGCCGCACTCGGGAACAATTTCCCGATCGGTCACCTATGCACGCTTAACCTCAGAGTTCTTTCTAGATCAGCTTCCGGAAAAAAAGTTGCAACTTATTGATATGAGTATTCTATTAATACTATTAAGCCTTAGTCCGGCATGTCACATTAATACTCTATACAGTAATATTATTTGTGCCCAATGAATAAAGATTAAAGAGTGAGCACCACGTGAGCCACGCGAAACGGCCCAAACCAGCGGCTCACACACACCTTATCCATGCACCGTTTTCCGATGTGATGTACCTTTAACCGAGAAAGCACGACCTCATCAGAAATCCTAATCAGTTAAAAATAAAGCTGAAATTTAAATTTTCAAACTTAATTTTAAGATTAATTTTAAGATAATTTTGATGTAGTTTCTTTTTAGTATTAGCTTTGAAGTCATAAAAATACATATATAAAATTTTTACCTATAAATTCATTTTTATATGAGCAAACGATGGCACTCTACACTGTATACCATTGTTTCATATCAGCACTTCACAAAACTTCGTGGTACTCTCCCCGTCCAACAGTATATGCCCATTTTTAGAAATTAAGAAATTAACGAAAGGACAAGTCATGCAAAAAAAAAAGAAAAACAAACTACTAGTAAGAAAGTTGGTATGAGAAAAATAAACTAATAAACGTTGGTAGGTGAGACAAAATAATACTATAAAAGTCAATAAGTATGGAATAAAGTACTGTATCAGAATTTTAAAATATCTTATATTTTAAGATAAATTAAAAAGTAAAATCCCTTATATTAAGAGAGAGTATATACATATTTCTTTTTCTCCTTCAAGGAAGGAAAATAACACATCATTGAACGACAGAATGAGTAACCAAAACCATTTTTGAAGGCACTCCTGGTAAAACATAGGACAAAAAATTGTAATACTAGTATAGTACAAAGAGCATGAACGGATATGAACAAAAAAGTTTCAGAACTGGTTGTCCCTTTCTTCTGACCTGACTTTGCCACAATCCGGCGAAGCCGCCATCAGAAGTTAGTAGAACATTCGACAAGTTACGACTAGTTTCACTTTGATCCGTATAAGAACTCAAGGGGATTTCAACTCCATCCGTTATGGTCAATCAAGAACATCTTCTAGATCGAAGTCAATAGTCCAACAGAGGCATCTCTGTCGGAAGACCCCAGATCAAAGTTTGCCATCTGGCCAACTAATCCTCCAGCGACGGTTAACTGTTATCCCTGCTCCACCATGTCTGACCAAACTTTATTCTCCCTTCCTCTACTCTATATCGAGATTCATTTAGAATGTTTCTCATTTTAGTATAATGTTGATTTATTTTAGAACGGAGAGAGTACTCTCTCTCGAGATTCATTTAGAATGTTTCTCATTTTAGTATAATGTTGGTTTATTTTAGAACGGAGAGAGTACTCTCTCCAAAAGTGCAGGAGCAGCACGTAACGTACCCATACCATTCTAGTCGTGTATTGATGATTGATTGCTTGCTTGCTGTGAGTATTTTTGTCACGAGGATCAGGTGAAACAATTAAAAACACAACGGCCAAAAAGACAATGGCCACCATGTGTTATACACAGTACACATTCGCACTTGCAAATCATGGAACATGATTAGTTACAGGACGATCCAGTAGTTATAGTACTACGGAGTAGTATCAACAATCAAGCAAGTAGTTTGTGAATTGTGACCATCAAACAGATTCGTGTAGTACAGGTTGAAATGAACTGCTCGCCGGCGTCGCAGCGGAGTAGTGCGGGTCGTCGCTACTCACGAGCGTGTGCCACTTCCCCGTCGTTGTCGCCACCTACTTCTACCTGCGCGGATTCCCGTCCCGAAGTGACAATTTCCCCGTGAAATCCCCCCCTATCCACAAGGGTAAGGCCCGTGCAGCCGCCGCCACCGCCTCCTCGCACCTCGTTTCTTCCACCACCCTCGCGCGGCGGCGGCCGTCTGCCGTCTGCCAATCCGCCCGCCCAGAAAAGCCGCCTCGTTCCGTTGTCTCAGCGCGTTTGACCAGCGATCTACTATCCCCCCTTCCCCCTCCTCCTCCCACGCCTCACACACTGACACACATATGGGCATAAATATGCCTCCGTTGGGAGAGATGCCAACACGACACACCAGCTAGTAGTGTGCGGGTTTGGGAGAGGTGCGTGTGCGCCCTGAGCTGCTGCTGCCGCCCGGCCGCCACCCGTGACCCGCGCCATGGCGGCGGTGGTGGACTTCCTGGACCTGCGGGCGGCGGCGCCGTTCGTGGTGGCCGCGCTGGCGTTCTACTTCCTGGTCGAGCAGCTGTCCTACCACCGCAAGAAGGGCCCGCTGCCTGGCCCGCCGCTCGTCGTGCCGTTCGTCGGCAGCGTCGCGCATATGATCCGCGACCCGACCGGGTTCTGGGACGCGCAGGCGGCGCGCGCCAGGAAGTCCGGCGCGGGGCTCGCCGCCGACTTCCTGATCGGCCGGTTCGTCGTTTTCATCCGCGACTCCGAGCTGTCCCACCGGGTCTTCGCCAACGTTCGCCCCGACGCGTTCCACCTCATCGGCCACCCGTTCGGCAAGAAGCTCTTCGGCGACCACAACCTCATCTACATGTTCGGCGAGGACCACAAGGACCTCCGCCGCCGGATCGCGCCCAACTTCACGCCGCGCGCGCTCTCCACCTACGCCGCCATCCAGCAGCGCGTCATCCTCTCCCACCTCCGGCGGTGGCTCGACCGGAGCGCCGCCAACGGCGGCAAGGCCGAGCCGATTCGGGTGCCCTGCCGCGACATGAATCTCGAGACCTCGCAGACGGTGTTCGCGGGGCCGTACCTCACCAAGGAGGCGAGGGAGAAGTTCGAGAGGGACTACAATTTCTTCAATGTCGGCCTCATGGCCCTCCCCGTTGACCTGCCGGGGTTCGCATTCCGGAGCGCGAGGCTGGGCGTGGCGCGGCTGGTGCGCACGCTCGGCGAGTGCGCGCGGGCGAGCAAGGCGCGGATGCGCGCCGGCGGCGAACCAGAGTGCCTCGTCGACTTCTGGATGCAGGAGACGGTGCGGGAGATCGACGAGGCCAAGGCAGCGGGGAAGCCGCCTCCGGCGCACACCGACGACGAGGAGCTCGGGGGCTTCCTGTTCGACTTCCTCTTCGCGGCGCAGGACGCGTCCACCTCCTCCCTCTGCTGGGCCGTGTCCGCGCTGGACTCCCACCCGGACGTGCTCGCAGGCGTGCGCGCCGAGGTGGCCTCCCTCTGGTCCCCGGAGTCCGGCGAGCCCATCACCGCCGAGAAGATCGCGGAGATGAAGTACACTCAGGCCGTAGCTCGCGAGGTGGTCCGGCACCGGCCACCGGCGACGCTGGTGCCGCACATCGCCGGCGAGGAGTTCCAGCTGACGGAGTGGTACACGATCCCCAAGGGCACCATCGTGTTCCCGTCGGTGTACGAGTCGTCGTTCCAGGGGTTCCCCGAGCCGGACACGTTCGACCCGGAGCGCTTCTTCTCGGAGGCACGGAGGGAGGACGTGGTGTACAAGCGCAACTTCCTCGCGTTCGGCGCCGGGCCGCACCAGTGCGTCGGGCAGCGGTACGCGCTCAACCACCTCGTCCTATTCATGGCGCTCTTCGTCTCCGTCGTGGACTTCCGGCGAGACCGGACGGAGGGCTGCGACGAGCCGGTGTACATGCCGACCATCGTGCCGAGGGACAGCTGCACCGTGTACCTCAAGCAGCGATGCGCCAAGTTCCCATCTTTCTGAGCTGGTTTCCCTTGTCCTCTTGCTCTGCTCCTCTTCCCGTGCATCGCATAATTTTTCTTCTTCTCCATTTTTCTTTTCAATCTGGTGGATCGTGTCGCAGCTGTGATGCATTGTTGATTTGTAGGTTTTGATGTTTGGTCCATTCAATTATTTTTGTTGGTAATTGGGTTCAGTTGGGGTTTGGACTCAGCTTTGGGTCCCAGCCGGCTAGGGGATGATACGAACACTACATCTGGGGTTGTTGGCCACATGTGTGGGTCTTCTGGTTTGGTTGGTTGGCATGTCTCAGGAAATTGGTGGTATTTGGAATGGATTTGCTCGATTGTTTTGGCAACTAAAATGTGAGCAGTTGCACGCTACTTCTGTTCATTTATGAATGTAAGGCGCTCGATTTGGATTGAGTGAGCGTTGGCTCGTGCCAGCGCAGCTGCCAATGCGTATATTCACCTTCTTTTTGTTTCTACGAAAACCGTCGGCGAGGCCTCTTTTTTTTTTTTTCCAGTTATTACATAGTTTATGCCTAAATTTAGTTTTTATTGGACTAAGTCCAAATTCAAATATAGATGTTGGTTTTCATGAGACGAAGAGAGTAGCTACTACTACACTTTGCCTACTAGTAGCTAGTTAACGGAAGAAGAAGAGGAGAGATTTTTCTCCTTTAGAAAGGAAGCTTTTTTCTTTTCATTTGAGTAAAATTCCTTTTATTCTTCTATTTCTATCCGGTTAGTATTCATCATTTCCGCACAACTGTTTCATAACAGGACAACAGACTCATGCATACTGTCTGGCTTTGAAAGCGATAGCCTATCCAAAATACGATGGAAGGAGTACTATTGATGGTAGTATAATTAAATTCTAACCATAGATTTTCTTGGGTATTTAAATACTTTATGTAAAACTTTGCTAGGGTAATTTTATGTTAATATAACATAAAAATCTAAAAAGATTGTAGCAATATTGCCTTTTATTTCAATTTTAGCCCTTCAAAACTTATACTACCTATATTGGTAGGTTTAATATAATAGAATCACTTTCATTGGATAAAAACAGGGATTGGGAACCAACAAATATAGATGGCCAAATGGGCCGTCCGGCATGGCACGGCCCGACCTACGGCCCAATACGACTCGGGTCCGCCTGAAGGCACGATAGTCCATCGTGCTTCTCCACAGAATAAGTCTATTTTTCATCCCTCAACTCTGTGGGTTGTGTCCATATGGTTGGAAAATAAGTCTATTTTGTGTTCCTCTTCTCATTAGGCCTTGCCTTATATGGTTATTTAAGTCTATTTTGCATCCCTATACTATTTTTCTTCAATCGTGCCATGCCGGGCCGGCCCACCGTACCGAGGGTGCAGCCCTGTCACGACCTGGCCGTCGGGCTGAGGCGGCACGGGCACGACCCTAGTCGGGCCGTGCCGTGCTTGCGCCGGCCGGGCCGCGGACCTCGGGTGCCAACAGAGTTTATAACCCCCCTCCCCCCCCCAAACAACGCCTCCCCCCTCGCAAGTAAAATAAGGTTGTGTTTCGGAGGAGGGATTGGGAACCCTTCTTCCTGGCACGTAAAGCAGAGTTGAATTAACATATGATTAATTAAGTATTAGTTAAAAAAACTTGTTCAATATGATATTTTAAAGCAATTTTATTGTAGATTATTTTTAGAAAGACACACATGTTAGCAATTTAGGAAACGTGCGCGTGAAAAACGAGAGGATAGAAGTTACGAACAAACTAAGGTGTGCTTGATATGGTGTTAAGCATCTATTTGTACTAGATGATGCCCCGCGCTTTGCTGCGGGATATATGTTAGATAATAGAGAAATGATGAAATGATTTAGATTGAAATGTTATGAAATGATTTAACAATGATGATTTAGCATGTGCATGTTTAGTTTTAGAATGAAATAAATTGTGGATATAATTACTATATGGTTGCATGTTGAGCTTTGTGTGTTTAATGGGTTGATGTGGTATGTTTGCATGTAGGTTTTAGGATGCTAATAAATATTATGCTTATATGTTGACCTTTATGTGTTTAGTGCGCATTAACTTTATAGAAAGAAGATATTACTAGATGATATGTCTGTGCGTTTCCATGGGATCGAAAAAAAAATCTTTATTGTCTATTATATACCTACAATTGTCTTATTACTAAGCTATTTTTTGCCATTAGTTTTGATGCCTGCTGAGCTAGCAAGAGGCACATATTATCCGCATCATTAAGGCCCTGTTTCTTTCAGCTTGTGATTATTATAATCCAGATTATTGGGAGTAAGCTGAAAGAAACAGATAACTTATTGAAGTAGCTTATTATAATCTGGAGGCCAGCTTATTATAATCTGATAAGCTCATTTAGGTGAGCTTTTTCCAGATTATTGGATGAAAAATTACCCACCATGCCACCCACTCCCTTTTTAGACTTGCAAATCTAGGAAAGAAAGAACTAACCACTTATTATACTACATATTATAACAATCTAGCTTATAGTAATCTGACTTAAATAATCTAGATTATAATAATCTCAAGCTGAAAAAAACATGGCCTAAGCTAGCCCACACAACCGATGTTGATTTTCCATCTGATTAACCATCTCCTTTTGTGTTGTATTTTTATATAATAGAATAGAAAACCATCCCGCCTTTGCTCAAGCGAGCTACAACCAATTATTACACCAAATCACTCAGAATGAGTGCAACTCAAAGAAACTTAAAAATCAAAATTCTTCCAAACATGAAGCGAACACAAACTCATAAACGCCAACACAAGATAAACAATATACAATTAATGAATACCATTTGTGAATCTCCATCCAAAATTGACAAAAAAACTGCATAACTGTCGTCTCAAGATTATGATATGCAGACTTCACAAGCTTGTAGTTTTCATCACACTTTTGTAGTTGTGCCCAGGACCGGAACCAATATATTGCTGAAAAGAACCTGCATATAGAAAATATATGGTGATTTATCAAAAACAATATCATTTCTATTTAACCATAGAGCCCTATATATAGCAGATGCTCCTATAAAAATAAGTTTGCTGATTTTTTCTATCAATCCCCACAAGCTAATTTTGAAAGATATGAGATATAATAAGTGGAAGGTATAAACCAGAAGAAAACTGAATAGCTCTCTAAAGAAATTTTGTAAAGTGGCACTTCTTAAAAAGACGTTGAATAGTCTCAATTTTTCTATCTCCTCCATTCTCAATCGCCGTCAGCACCAGCAGCTGACCTCCTCAAGCACCGCCAGCCTCTTGCCCTTCTTCAGTCTTGGTCCAGCTCTCTCCTCTAGCACGATATACCCATGTCCCCTTCCTCGTCCTAGTTGGCAAGCAGAAACCATGCAACGTGAACCTCCGACGCACGAAGCGACCTCACCACCTTGGCACAAGTGGGGTTTGGAGGTTGGTGCAATGCGGCGGCAGTTCGTGCTTGGAGAATGTCGCTGGTGAGGGGCTTGGCTTCTTGTTGGACCGGAGGAGGCGAATAGCTGGGGCATTGTCGGCCGTGGGCCGTGCCAGCCCGTGTGATGACTGAAGAAGGCGCTGGCGAGGGGATTGGCTACGTATTGGTGTCACGTATCCGAGGAGGATTTGGATCGTCTGCCTTCACCCTGTGAAGGCACGGTCGTGCAGTCATCGCTTATTCACCGTCCATACAATTCAACGGCTCACGTGTCACGCGCACTTAACTGCTGTTGCAATCAGTCCATGGCAGCCCGACAAGACACACTGATGAGTTAATCCGATGAGGCCCCTCGTCGCTGCTGCCACCGCCGCCGCCGTCGATGCCAACGATGGCAGTGACTAGCTAGCTCGGAGCTCGTCTGCTTGTACGCACACGCCGTCACCAGCCATCGTTTGGGCCCAACTTTTTTTTTGTTCCTCATTTTTCGGGGCCAAAGTACCAAATTTGCTAAGTTTATTTCTTTGTTCAACTGTTGATGGTACTGAAGACATATTTTAGCTATGGAGATTGTAGTTTCTAGTGCGTTGCTTTTGTTCTTGTTAATCCTTTTTGATTTACGATCTCTATTCTCTATCTCTTTTGATTTACGATGTGGCTTACTCTCTATTGTAGTTAGTAATGAATGATGTTGTTTGAAACTTATGAATTGTCTGATGGAATGCATACTTTACTTGCTAAATAGTTGAATCGAATGCATGCTTTGCTCTGCTCTGCTCATTGTAATAATGTTCCAAAATCCAAATTCCGGGCAGCAAGCATGCTGCATCACTGCCGATTGATACATCCAGTCCTAGCAGGAAGATGGAATGGCAAAGCTTCCATATGAAGCCCAAGACGGCGGCGGTGGCAGCGCGTGGCGAAAGACGAGCTCCAGCTATTCGCCGGCGGCAGCGATGGCGGCACTACAAGTCTACCAAACTGACTCTGAAGTCTGGAGAACGTGCCTCTTGTTGAGCTGACATAGGTCTCTATGCCCGGGAGCCGTTGGATTGCATGGACGGTGGATAAGTGATGACTGCACGCCCGTGCCTCCACAGGATGAAGTCAGACGATCCAAATCCATTCGAGGAAGATGGTTTTGGCGTGCAAAGAGCGAAATCGCTAAAAAGCAATCAGTCGCGCGGCTCCCCTCCTGCGCGGCGCGGCCACGTGGCACGCGCGGAGAGGGGGCCGCGGTGGAACGGCGCGGGAGCGCCATGTGCGCACGTTTCTCTTTTTTTTCTTTTTTTTTCTTTCGGTTTTTCTTTTTGTTTTTTCTGGTTTTTTTTTCTCTGATTTGGCGTTTCTCTTTTTTCTTTCGGTTTTTCTTTTTGATTTTGGCTGGTTTTTTTCTGGTTTATTTCAGTTTTAAACTCATACATATATAAATTTTGTATTCGTATGTATATAAAGTTTATATACGTACAACTTTGTATACGTACAAATACAAAGTTTGTATACGTGGCTTTTTTTTGTTTTTTTCTTGGTTTTCAGTTTTTAAAATATGTATGTATTTACGTATATAAAGTTTGTATACGCGTATACAAAGTTTGTATATGTGGTTTTTTTTGTTTGTTCTTCGTTTTCGGTTTTTAAATATGTATGTATTTATGTATACAAAGTTTTTATACGCATATATAAAGTTTGTATACAACAGTGTAGTAGTAGTACTAGTAGTATAGTAGTAGTAACAGTGTAGTAGTACTATCAGTAGTAGTATATGAGTAGAAGTAGTAGGTGTACTAATACGAGTATACATCGGACTGACCGTGCGGGCGGCCGTCCGTTAGTAGTCCCCTGCAAAGAGGGCTAAGAGCATCTCCAGTAGAGACCTCAAATCCAACCTCTAATCAAATTTTGAGAGTTAAGATAAAAAAAAAACTAGATCCAGCAGGAACCCTACTACTAGAGC